TTTTTGCTGTTTCTCAGGGGCAGAAACATTACAGCCACAGCAGCCAATAATGCTTTCAAACAAGCTACAGGACGACGTGTATCTGTATCAACAATACGCCGCCGATTACGTCACTACGGACTGCGGGCACGTCGTCTAGCTGTAAGACCCCCCCTTACACCACGCCACCGTCAGAACAGACTGAATTGGAGAAATGGACATTTACGCTGGGGTCCCCGCAGATGGGCAAGGGTACTCTTCTCCGACGAATCAAGGTTCAATCTGCATTTCAACGATGGTCGGATCCCAGTCTATGGACGTCAGGGAGAGCGGTACGCTGACGTTGCTGTTGTGGAACATGATCGATTTGGAGGTGGATCCGTTATCGTCTGGGGAGGTATCACCCTGACTGGAAGAACTGATTTACTGGTACAGGATGGAAATCTGACTGGCCAGAGATACAGGGACGAGATCATCATTCCTATTGTGCTTCCATTCTTAAGGGCCATGCCAGGTCACGCGGTTTTCCAAGAGGATAATGCCAGGCCTCACAGAGCTCGCATCGTGTCAGCTTCTTTACAACAAAATGGGGTGAATCGAATGGATTAGCGAGCATTATCGCCCGATATGAACCCCACTGAGCATGTTTGGGATCTGCTGGGACGGCGTGTTTATGCCAGAGTTCCTCCCCCTGCTAACCTTCGCCAACTTCGCAATGCATTGTTTGAGGAGTGGCAAACATTCCCCAGCGGCAGATTGAACTGTTCTTTCGTGGTATGCAACGTCGATGCAATGTCTGTGTTAGAGCCAGGGGTGGTCATACCCGTTATTAAATTTTGCAATTTCACTTTTGTATGGTACTAGCCAATACGGCATTCTGGTTCACTAATCATCAATGCACACGTCCTTGTGAACAAGGATATGAAGACCTAAATGAATAATTTTGTTATTTTTTATTGGTAGCTTTCACAAATACGATTTTCTTACGAGATATAGTGAGTGGTTTCAGTGAGTCTAAACTTTTGATGGGTAGTATATATATAGGAAGTATAACGCCATAAGACCACTGATCTGGATAAGAGCCACTTACGAATACTGCATTAAATAATTGTAATAACATGTCCAGACATTTAGGTGGGTCATTCTTAAAGAAATCCACAGGTATCCCACTATAACCAGGAGCTTTGCCACACTTCATATAGAGTTTGTACCAATTCCTCTAGAGTAATAACAGCGTCTAGCTCACTTTCGGGAATAACTGTATTTTCTATCAACTCATCACCAATGGAGTTGACAAAGCCATGTACAAATTTATAAAACTCAACAAAATGTGCGTGTATATGTATGTATAGTCTGGAAGTTAATTTAAGGTACCGACGTTAAATACAATATCTGAAAAACTATTGGACCTACTCCAGCCAAAGTTGGTATGAGATTATTAAACAGTCATACATAACTGGATATCACATTTAAAGACAATCGGTGCATGAATAAAAAATCCGTCCATTTAGCTATCACTATATTTCATCAACAACCAGACCTGTTCGTCACGGGTGGAACTAGCATTCATTGTAACAGCCATCTGCATAATGCTACCCCTGCGTCACAGGGCCATATGACACAATTAAACCAATCAACTCAGCTCGAAAGCTGCATTAGGTACGGGTCCTCTAACGACATTACAAAGAAAAGAAGAGTGAGTGAGTATGGTTTTACGCCGCTTTTAGCAATAATCCAGCAATATCACCAAGGACACCAGAAATGGGCTTCACACATTGTACTCATGTGGGGAATCGTACCCGGGTCTTCGGCGTGACGAGCGAAGGCTACCCCACCGCCCCTAGAAAACAGTGAAAGTTTACAGAAACTGAAGATGAAAACAAGTCGGTTATTTAAAGAATGGCACGATTTTCTCAAGGACGCCGTAAATCGTCTTCTTATTCGCCAGAATGACGGACAGACAAAACCATACGCTTTCCACTACGAACTCGCCGGAGGTGAGGTGAAATTGGTTTTAACGTCGCGTTCAAGATTATTGCACTTATATAGCAACGTGCATGCACGTGTGTGTGTGGCTGGTTGTACTAGTCCAGACTGATGCCGATTTATAGTGCTAGTTCACTGAGATACCATGCCGCAGTTTAACATGAATACCCCACTCAGACACAGTATACTGACTCCGAGCCGACCAGTCCTTATTTAAGCCCCTTTATGCCGAGCGCCTGACAGGGTAACAACAAGTACCATCTTTTAACGTCTTTTGGTATGACGCGGCCGGGGATCGAACCCCGGACCTTCTGCTCTCCGGGCGGACGCTCTACCACAAGAGCGGTCGCTGTAACAGGAAGGATGGACAGAATAATAACAGGTCGGAGTGTGGCCCTGCCCAGAATGAATCTTACAATAGTGATCTATTTGGGAACGTTAATGGACCATATCCTAAGTACTGTGTTACTGTCTTTTCTAGCTAATCATTACCCCATAGCATCCTGTGGGATGTTTTGCACACTTAAAGAATATTCTTATTGTAAATGTATACATCTCAATGTGTCACCTGGGCATATGGCCTCTATTACTTATATTACTTTCGAGTATGTTACTCCTATATTACTTATATATATATATATATATATATATATATATATATATATACTAGTATATAAGAAAAGCACAGTTAAGTTCTAACCCTCAGGCACAATATAGTACTAATTTAGTAAGTGGAGTAAGATTGAACACAGTTTGAATAGGCTAGCGCTTTCAACTCGTACCACGTACGAGTCTCATCAGGCCATAACTGAATAACGGACAGTCTCGCAAGACGTATTTGTACCATTGTGTCCGGAAATGATGTTAAAACTACCCGCCTTGCTGAACTTAAGAGTTTCCTACTGCATCAAAATTATCGCGCAAAGTTAATTGAAGATAGCATACAGTAAGTGAGTGAGTGAGTGAGTATGGTTTTACGCCGCTTTTAGCAATATTCCAGCAATATCACGGCGAGGGACACCAGAAATGGGCTTCACACATTGTACCAATGTCGGGAATCGAACCCGGGTCTTCGGCGTGACGAGCGAACGCTTTAACCACTAGGCTACCCGACCGCCCTGATAGCATACAGAAGGCGCTAAGTATTAAGCAACTAAAACTGAGAGAAAAGTCTGAAGAAAACAATATTGGGAATAATTTAACTCTAGTATCTACCTTCAACCCTAATCATGAAAAAACATTATCCATGGTTCAACGATACCTGCCTATTTTGAATCAAAGTATTAAAATGGAGAAGATATTGAGCAAATACAAAATTATCAACAGCCAAAGACAACCCAAAAATCTTAGAAAGATTTTGACAAGTTCTAAATTTGATTCTGTTGTTATCACTCCACAGGTTTCTAAGTGCGGTGACAAACGTTGCCTAACTTGCAGCAATATAATTGAAGGCTGTTCAGTCCAAATTACAAAGGAAACTAAATTTACTGTAAAACAAAATATTATTTGTGATACTAGAAATGTTATTTACTTGACTGTTTGTAGTGGATGCAATGAAAAGTATATCGGAAAGACAGAACTTTAATTAAAAAGAAGAATGAATCTTCACCGTTCACAAATAAAGCAGCCACACAACCGCACGATTGCACTCAGTGAACATTTAGAAGCATGTGGAAACGGCAACTTTTTAGTTTTCCCGCTATATAAGCTAAATTTTGATCATGAACCTACATTGTTTCAAAAAGAGCAACATTTCATTCGTAAGTTAAATGTAAAGGCGTAAGTTATTTGTCCATAGTCACCTTGGTATTGTGACGTCATAGTTTCCTAGATGTTATGACGTCACGTAACTATATGTTACTACTTCATGTCCGTTATTCAGTTATGACCTTGATGAGACAAAGCGCTGGCCTATTAAAATTGTGTTCAATCTTACTCCACTTTTTTAATTATATATTAATAAATTATATATTTTAATTATATATATATAGATAGATAGAGAGAGAGAGAGAGAGAGAGAGAGAGAGAGAGAGAGAGAGAGAGAGAGAGAGAGAGAGAGAGAGAGAGAGAGAGTAGTAATAATATATATAAAGTAGTAAAATAGGAGTAACATACTCGGAAGTAATATAAGTAATATAGGCCATATGCCCAGGTGACACATTGAGATGTATACATTTACAATAAGAATATTCTTAATGTGTGCAAAACATTGTTATTGTACATATATATATTAGTAATATATACAAAGAAAATGTCACGGTCGTAAGTTTACCACGTTACTGTATTCTTGAAATGACGTAGCCAAGAAGGTTCATATTCCAATTTACTCACTCAAAGTGAAAGTCATATTCTTAAATAATCATTCACACGATAAAAATGTTTTGCACACGTTAAGTATATTATTACCGTAAATGTGTAAGATTAAGCTGAAGAATACAGACACAACAACCAGCAAGAGATAAATAAAACTGATTTAATAAGGTTGAAGGAAACATCTTACAGAAACAAACTTACACTGACAATCAGCTGACTATTAGCCATTTCCATTGCCATCCAGACATCATATCGGAAACAAACCTAATCCGTCCGTATGTCCGTCCATATTTCGTTTCCGGATCATAACTTAAAGATCGAAGACTTGACGATAACCGAAGATTTGTCATCTTCTGTTTTTGCATATGAATCAATAATAATCAAATAGGTTTACCAATATAAAATTAAAACGAAACATTTACGACAGGGCTTGCTTCTTATCCACTTGCCAAATGCGGAAGTTATACCTATCTGAAAACGTCACATTCCTGGCAACTTCCAACACTATTCCAGGTTCGGGAACAAAGTGTGTGCTTCTTCAGATATATTCAAGAGTGGAACCTTCTGGATTAATCCCGTGAATATCCGGGGTAGAATTGGTCTTCAGCAACCCATGCTTGCCGTAAAAGGTGACTAACGGGATCGGGTGGTCAGGCTCGCTGACTTGCTTGATGCATGTCATCGATCCCAATTGCGTGGTTCGATGCTCATGATATCAATCACTGGATTGTCTGGTCCAGACTCGATTATCTACGGACCGCCGTCATATAGCTGGAATATTGCTGAGTGCGGCGTTAAACAACAAACAAACCAAACCAAACCAAACCTTCTGGATAATCGTGAGTGTACTGATGTGTTTTGTAGGGCCTGTTACTTATTGCTGCTGCAACGTATTTGATCCATTGTATTGCCTTTGTAAACCAACAGTATGTTTCAATACAAGTGTGCTAATTATTCATTGATCGTGTGTGGCCATTTCCCAATTTAGTTTTGTAACCATCCCATTTCTGGGTTAGATTTGCGTTTCAATTTGCAAATGAACCCATAACAGTAAAATGTGAGTCCACTAGATGGACTCGAGGTTTTAGTTTTAAAGGTGTTTATTTCATGTACACAGGTGTTCTCCGTTACATTCTGAGTAACGGCATGCCATTGCGGATTCTCAGCTCGTGGCCCATGTTTTGAACTCAGCACACCACTTGACTCGGGGAGGCTAGGCAGGGGGGCTGGGGAAGATGGGGAATCTATTTAGCGGCGTAATACACTGACCACTTGCTCAGGTCCACGCTCGGGAGATTGTAACAGGACTGGTAGGAGTTCCTGAAAGTATAGCAATCATGGCTTAGCACAAAATAATAACTACGTTCTGTGTGTCTTCGTGACAAAATCATGGCATGGTCCTAATACTGCGTGATTTCTGGGTTCAATATAATGCAGTGAAGTGAATTCGTATTGAAATGTGACCAATATAAAGTTATGAATGAGTTCTGAATTTATATTCATATGTCTCTTCAGACGATGTGTATCTTTAGAGGAGACTGACCCACTTTGAACCTATTTCATTTGTAGTGCGGCGTGTTTGAGAACAGATCAAATTTAAGAATAGTAATTCTCGACGCAGTGACAGAAAATATGCAACTAATACAAATGTCTCAAAATTGTGTTTTCGGTTTGTTAAACCATGAACATGCATCACAACCCAATAAATGAGGTCATCTAGCAGGAACTTTTTTTAGTCTGCTCTATACATCGCCTTTACACATTAATTTAAACAAATTTAGACGTACCATAAACGGCGGTTCACTCAATCATTGTAGTCGTATGCAATTTCTTGAGAAAGTTATTTGGTGAAAGAAAATATGTCAATTTATGATAAAAATTAAAACACTCGTGTGTTTCCGTGTGGTAAAAATCATATATTATGATTAATTATGTGTATTCCTAATATATCTCACATAGGATAAGAAAACACTCCGCTGACAACGTTTAACCATAGATGAACAACCAGTTTCTCACCCATAATAATGTGATGCTTTCTTGAAGGCATTTTGTTGTATAAAGAAGGTGTCCGTGTTGTCACAGATGATCCTGGACAGGCTGGCCTTCCGGATCTCAGCCAGCTGGGCTGGGGATTGTAAAGAGCAAGACATTAAGGGTATTGTTTGTTTTTTACTTCTTGGTTGAAGGAATCACGAGCCAAATGTTGAATAAAATTATACATTTACACTTCATCTACCTTGCGAGTCTGATCAGTCAGAATGTTAGTATATCAGTCATTATTGTCAGTAATGTGTGAGTGAGTTGGGTTTATCGCCGCTTTGAACAGTATTCCAGTTATATCACGGCGTGTCAGCTTAATGTGGGAGGAAAGCCCGAAGTGATGCTGGTCCCAGACGTTTACCACTTCGGTGAAACCCACGGGCACATGTATAGTGCTGACACACCAATAAACATAATCGGGGCGAACCGGGATTCGAACCCACAATCATAGGTTTCTGGCGTGCCCAAAGGAGGCAACTCTGTACAGCGAATCGCGGCGCCTTAGACGACTGGGCCACCCGTGCCCTCGTCAGTCATGAAAAGAACTTAGAAAACGTACATTGATAGCATGATTGGCGTCACGTGTTTGACCAAAGATTAACATGGACGTTACATTTTAACTGTTTTGATCTAATTCTTTGTTCAACATAACATCAATCACGATCACATCAGTTTCAAAAGTTATCTTAGGATGCCATCCCATTGTAACTGTTGGTACTTTATTATGTGGACCGCCTATCCGATGGTTTAAAATCATAAACCTCAAACCAAGCCAAAATGATAATCTAAAAGGCCATCAGGAATTCATTCTGGTACCAACATCTAGTATTTACATCTATGCATAACAATGACATCATATTTCCAACACCTAGCTCTTTATCACAAATTACCGTCATTCATTATGGATGACATTACGTCAACATGTTGTTAATATGCAATAAATCTTTCAGAAAACTATTACACAACTGTTGACAATACTGTGACACAGGTAATTCTGTTTTCAAATCATTAAAAACGATTTTCTTACGAAGATGTTTTTTTTGTTATTTTGTTTAATTGTATCTTCCATTCACGATTGAAAACACACTGTCATACCATTCGTCACCACTCGCCCCTTTCCGTAACCTGCAAGTCGCTATTCGGCTTGTCCCGGAATAACACGAGTTGGTCACGAATGACTGTCACACATACCTGGTGTGAAACCCGTCACCGGATTTCCCAGCTCGTGCCAGAAACGGTCGCCTTTCTTTATCAACTCAAATTGTTTCGCGATGATGCAGCTTAAGGTTGGGCCGAGGACGCCACCGGGCACCGGTCTCTCCGATATACCCGCAGGGAAGATCTCAACGTCATCCGGACTCCTACAAACGTAAATTCAGGCTTAATGAAAGTGAATTGGGTTTCTTAATACCCTTCAGCGATTAAATATAAACCTGTCTTTTATGGCAGTATATTCGACATCTGTTCTATACGATCGCCACGGATGAAATCAAAGTTCAGATAAGATAAGTAATTTCTCAATTTCCCTGTTTAAAGAGGGGAGGGGGGTTGGGGCTTTGCTTCACGATCTGGTGTGAATGTTCGGGCTAGCTCTAGACGTTGTAATACGTTACATCACCCGTTTGACAGATATACATAAGACATTGCAGTTTATAGACAAAGTGGTTTGTCTTATAAACCCAATGGAATGTGTTTCGTTGGATAATCGAGACTGGTGTTGACGTTTTATATTAAAATGACTGCAGTCAAATTTGATAGGTTTGCCTGTTGGCGAGAGCCTAGTCTTTCTTGAGCAAGATGTAGATCTATGCCATAACTATACTTATTTTGTTACATGGGTCAGATATTACTGATACTGATTTACTTAACATATTCTTCAATTACTTGTAGAGATATAAATGATACGCACAGGCCAGCATAGGCTCGAGTCAACTGGTCCACAGCATCTTCATCGTGGTCCGAGAAGCCTCCGAGACCTCTCCTGAAGAAATTGGCCTTTGGAAGTCCACAGAACTGTCTCCAGGCGTTATACGACTGTGTGCCATGATCCCTCCCACGCTGGATGTTGAACGCTGCCAGATCAAAACTGTTTGTTGCGCTCTTGAACAACTCGTTGGTCAAGGAAGGGGATATGAACCGGTCAAACCTGCCAGCAGTGTCGACAAGTTGACCGCGTAAGAATTCATGCACAGCATTTCCTTTGGAGTCCCTTATGATTTTGGTCTTGCCAAATAGGTCACTCAGTCTGTGAATGATGTTGACTGAGTAGTTCGGGCGACGTCGGCTGAAGAATGTACGTACAAGGGTGTGTCCGAACCGAAAGGCTGCAGCACTAAATACATTCCGAATACTGGGGTCGATACTTGGATTATAGACATTGTCAAACCCTTGTCTTGGAGAGTCAAGCCCATGTGTCCTTCGAGTGCCAGGATCAAGGACGATTTTCAACCAATCGCTGTAGGTTATTTTCTGAGCCATTGCACCTAAGATCTTTCTACTTTCTTGAAATATTTTCTCATCGTTCCAATATGGGTTGTACTTGAGTATGAGTCCTGGCAATACGGTTGTGTTCTCTCATCAACAGGGTATGCATACTGGTTAGGCCCATCTGTTCGTTCCTACGGGTATCACCTGAAGAAAGTAGCAGAGAATCAACCAGAAATCCTTACAATGCCACAAAATGAAATCCGTTAGACCCAGTAATATTAATTCTGGTCTGCGTTTAGTGTTTGAGTAGTTATAGTAAATGAATGGATTATGTTTTACATAATCCGTTACTGGGTCCGTTGTATTGCCCCTCTAAACTCGTATAAGGAGGCTCTTCTTTTATTGAAGGGCGAAATGACCTGGGGCCGATTTCACCTGGAAAGAATAGTTCAGGGGGAATAGGCCCGAGAAACGTAGCATAGTATTAACCACAAGACATTGCATTGAAACAAAAGCAAATCTGATATTATATTCGTCACTCGACTGATTTGGGTATTAGTAAAACAAATGTGTGACTGATGTCGCTTTGAACATTGAAAAAAGGTGTATTTATAGGTATATTCCTCCTGTGGGGACACGCACCTGCATCAAAGCACGGTGCATCGCAAACATCTTCCTTCTCATCTGTTGGCAGAAGGTTGAAATCGGTGAAGTTGAGGAGACCTGAAAAAAAAATATTACCATAAACCAGAACAACGTTAAGTACATGTAAGAATACAGGTAATTCATCCTGGGGGTCGTGAGCATGGCTAAGAGTTCAGATGAAATGTACGCATGGGTTGTCAAGCTTCACTCGTATCCGTCAGTCGTGGAAGGATAATTCATAGTGTCAGCTTTGTTTCATACAAGGTGATTCTTTCTTCTTCTTTTTTAAATAAATTGTCTTTATTTTTATTTTTCTTTGGGGGAGGGTGTATCTCTGTTTTCATATTATAATAAAGGGATTACCGTAAAAACTCCTTCCTATGTGTCTCTCGTGACTAAACACGCCAAGTCATCATGATCAGATGACATATACTGATGAAAATGAATTAGGGAACACTCAGTTTTAGACACAGTAAAATGATATGCTATCATGGGTTCCCAGCCTCGTCTCCCAAATACACGTTGGAAACAATGCACACAAATACATCTCAACATTTAATTCTGACATGTGTTGAATTTGTTTGCGCGCTATTTCACAAGTACTGACAGTAAAGCTAATTTTTCCTATATTTTTATTGTTCCCTCGTTCGTTTCCTTCAGTACATTACTCATAACAATTACCATCTACTCTCAGTCTCAGGTTGTCACTTTCCTCCTTGCTCGATCCATACACATTAGATGAATCCACAAAGGCTGTGATTGCATTTATCTGTTCCACTGGAGCTGAAACATCAACAAGTATATCAGAAATGTCTGTCTGGACATTAAAGACAGCCACTTAACATGATGCAAAATCATTTCGAAAATGTCAAAATCACTGGGAAATGGTAAAACGAATTTAGTATCAAAATGTATGTTTTGATGTTTTCCGTGTTAACTTGACATCAATTGGCATGCCAGAAGTTGGTGAGTAAATAAGAAAACATACAACTTTATGGATAGCAACTTCTGCTTTATTGCATTTACCTACGTTTATTCTTACACCGTTATCAACCTTGATGTAGATTCGTACACCGTTATCAAGCTTGATGTAGATTTTTACACCGTTATCAAGCTTGATGTAGATTCGTACACCGTTATCAAGCCTGATGTAGATTCTTACACCGTTATCAAGCTTGATGTAGATTCTAACACCGTTATCAAGCTTGATGTAGATTCGTACATCGTTATCAAGCTTGATGTAGATTCGTACACCGTTATCAAGCTTGATGTAGATTCGTACACCGTTATCAAGCCTGATGTAGATTCTTACACCTTTATCTAGCTTGATGTAGATTCGGACACCGTTATCAAGCTTGATGTAGATTCGTACATCGTTATCAAGCTTGATGTAGATTCGGACACCGTTATCAAGCTTGATGTAGATTCGTACACCGTTATCAAGCCTGATGTAGATTCTTACACCGTTATCAAGCTTGATGTAGATTCGGACACCGTTATCAAGCTTGATGTAGATTCTTACATCGTTATCAAGCTTGATGTAGATTCGGACACCGTTATCAAGCTTGATGTAGATTCGTACACCGTTATCAAGCCTGATGTAGATTCTTACACCGTTATCAAGCTTGATGTAGATTCGTACATCGTTATCAAGCTTGATGTAGATTCGTACACCGTTATCAAGCTTGATGTAGATTCGTACACCGTTATCAAGCTTGATGTAGATTCGTACACCGTTATCAAGCCTGATGTAGATTCGTACACCGTTATCAACCTTGATGTAGATTCGGACACCGTTATCAAGCTTGATGTAGATTCGTACATCGTTATCAAGCTTGATGTAGATTCGGACACCGTTATCAAGCTTGATGTAGATTCGTACACCGTTATCAAGCCTGATGTAGATTCTTACACCGTTATCAAGCTTGATGTAGATTCGGACACCGTTATCAAGCTTGATGTAGATTCTTACATCGTTATCAAGCTTGATGTAGATTCGTACACCGTTATCAAGCTTGATGTAGATTCGTACACCGTTATCAAGCCTGATGTAGATTCTTACACCGTTATCAAGCTTGATATAGATTCGTACACCGTTATCAAGCTTGATGTAGATTCGTACACCGTTATCAAGCCTGATGTAGATTCTTACACCGTTATCAAGCTTGATGTAGATTCGGACACCGTTATCAAGCTTGATGTAGATTCTTACATCGTTATCAAGCTTGATGTAGATTCGGACACCGTTATCAAGCTTGATGTAGATTCGTACACCGTTATCAAGCCTGATGTAGATTCTTACACCGTTATCAAGCTTGATGTAGATTCGTACACCGTTATCAAGCTTGATGTAGATTCGTACATCGTTATCAAGCTTGATGTAGATTCGTACACCGTTATCAAGCTTGATGTAGATTCGTACACCGTTATCAAGCCTGATGTAGATTCGTACATCGTTATCAAGCTTGATATAGATTCTTACATCGTTATCAAGCTTGATGTCGATTTTTACACCGTTATCAAGCTTAAAGTAGATTATTGCCTTTTCTGTACCTTTTCTTAGTTACCTGTGCTAATTGCGTAACAATGCGCCCTTCGTTTAGGTATCACAATGTAATGACTCCAGTACCTTATGTTTGTCAAAAGGGTAGACAAAAGAGGGCTTCAGGTTGTTACGGCTCGGAAATGTACATAAATCACTGTCATTCATTCAGTCTAAGACTTCCGGTAGATGAAATCTGAATTTGCTCTCGTTTATATAAAAGTCACATTAACATTGAATACTGAATAGATATTTACTGTCGGTATTTCTTCTTTTTTTAATAGTCACTATATGGCTGAAATATTGCCGATGTGACGTTTAATCCCAGCTCACTCACTCACTGTGTTAATATTTACCATTGGTACACTGTAGGTTGGGTCCTTGTATAGATCTTGTGAAGTTTAAACATGTGCGGCCGATAAAAACTGGGTCATTCGGTGGAACTGGGATAGGAAAACATGGATTTCTGAAATAAATATAATTAATGGTGAAATTTACAATGATATGACCCAGGAAGAAATACTAGAACTCATATTAAAAAGGTTTTAGGATATTTGAATATATTGTACAAATAACTTTCAGTGTAAAGTCTTTCTTTTAAAGTCTTGAAAGAAAATGCAAAAAATAGAACATGGTAACCTGATAGTTAAAACATAAATGCGATAATAAATTACACCCATTAAAAATTCAAGCAACAATAATGAAACACAATTCAAGGAACCAAAAGAAAACGATTCATGTATTACTATTCAATGAGTTGTACACGCAGTCGGGTACGATGACACACAATCAGCCAGGGCAGACATTGTAACTACCCAATCTGCAAGAGGTACTGAGGACCAATTCTGATCCGGTAACCAGGAGACAGTTTGCAGATAACGATGAAATAAAGTTAATACTTACGCCATAATTGGAACGAAGGACCGCACTCCCACTGAAGCTGCAGATGCGGCGACGGAGGCTCCCTCCAGGCAGCAGTTGAGTAACAAGGGTTTTCTAACTGGTCCTGGACACATTTAAACAAACACAAAAATAATCATGGACAGTGTTGTTTCGTGGCCAGTGTTCTTTACATACACTGATAAAGAAACGCTTCCTTTATTGTTATGACTACGGGAAAGTAGGTTAAAGTTAATGATGAAGACACCTATCTTTGTTCTTTAGCGTGATAAGGTACCGTCAGACATAAACGATTCAACCTGATATTAAACGATACCATTCACTTTACGTTTCATTCTGAATTTGTGCGGTTCGTTTCACAAGATGTATTGCAATCGTCATATCTTGGCAAGATTGCACATGTGGCTCTGTGCAATGCAATTATATGCAGTATTTATCTTTAAGTACTGGAACAACAATAGTCCTAGCACTGTGCCTCGATTCAGGCTTTTTCATATGAGTGAGGGAGTGAGTCTGGTTTAACGCGGCTTTGAACAGTGTTCCAGTTTTATGACGGCATGTCAGCTTAATGCGGGAGAAAAGTCCGAAATGATGCAGGTCTGAGACGTCTTCACTTTGATAAGCATGGTGCTGACAGACCTAGCAACATAATCGAGACGAACCGTGATTTGGACCCGCAATCATAAGTCTCTGGCATGTCCGAAAGGACGCAACTCTGCATAACATTAGACACATATCCAATAGGGATTTTTCACTCCGTTGTTATCTTAGGAAATTTTACCGGAAACAGTACATCTTGAAACGTATTGTATCGTGAACAAACTATCGCGATACATAGTGTTATATTTTGCATCGTGCAAGCCCTGCTCGTCCGTCCCAATTCTCAAGTGCGGTGGTTTGCTTGCTTGTAGTCTATAGCCATGTTCTTACAGCAAATGTATCAAATGATGAAAAGTGATTTTGGGGTATGTCACTGGTAACATTTTTATTTCAAATATTTTTCAAGAAATGTTTTATTGATCTTAGCCTGGTTGATATGTTTTCTTTACTGCCCAACACTAGATTGTACCTGTATGTTATGGCAACGGAATTGCGGACGATGAGATGCTCAGTTACATGAAGCTAACTCACTCATACAAGCGCATTCACGTTCTCGTGTAAAACTGTGATGCATAATTATAAATGTAGTTTAAGTGCGAAACACAGGTGCATTAATATAATAATATATTTTACCAAGATGTTAATATATGAATGTGTCGGTGTGTTACTCACGTGTGAGGACTGGCGCGTGGGTGATGTCGTGGTCGGTGATGTGCCCCCACTGCATGAACATGTGGGTGATATCCTCGTACTTGGGAATGTCACTGGGGTCAGAAGCACCGTGGACGATCAAACTGATGAAACGCGCACTAGGAAGATCAGCACCAGACACGCTCTTTGTGCGAGGTAAGCCAATTCCTAGAACATGTTAATATAATTGAAATAAATCAGTACAATGTTAACTTAAACCGAATGCAATGACTAGGACCATATGTCAGAACATGCTTTATAAACATATAGATTCTCTAAATAGAAGACAAAAACATTTCCACATTAATAAGAAATCTTTATCAAACGTAAAGTCGATTGTACGATTCCGACATGTCATGAGTATGTGTTTGTGAATCACTATCATATAGCGATGATAACACGTGTTCGCGAAAAGGGTGAGCATCCTTACCTACAGGTGGCATCCATCACAAACACATGCAAAGGCTAGACAATTATTCACCTGAACAAAAATAGGAATTTATGGTACAAGTCAGAATAGGGAATGGCATCGGACATCATTCTTGTTACTGATGTCCTCCGTACGTCATAACAGGTTTTGAAAGCTTTACTGAGGCCTTGAATATTGTAACCTAGACATTCATTATTTTTATACCTGTGAAAAGGGTTTTGTCGCTTTTTCATATCATATCGATATTCATAGTTATAATCCTATGCACAGGAAACAAGAATATGGAGTATGTATGTGTATTGCTTTACACATTGGGATTTCCGCTGCCGTCAGCAACATTACAGAGACGGGGGAGTATAATAATGCTTCAAACCTTGCACTGAAATACTGTCGTAAACCTAATAATTTTTCAACATAGTCCCCTTGCAGTTCTATACACTTGTTCTAGATCTTCTCCACTTCAATTATCCTTGTTTTGCAGAATGTCCGTTCCCCGTCTGTCAACCAGCCCAACACGGCAACACCAAAGTCTTGGCTCCAGTTAAATAGCGAACCACGCAACTGGGTTCTTTTTCGAATTTGAAACTACGGGACAGATCTGGTGAATAAGGTGGATAGGTACAAGTTTGCATCCACATTCCCGTACAGCAGCCATTGCAACATGACTGATGTGGACTGCAGCATTTTCCTGACGGAGAACACCACGTTGATGCTTGCCACAATGCACAATGCGCCATAACATAAACCCAGATGAACATGTCAGATGAGCTGAATGTATGAATTATTTATTGTTCTCATTCTCTCGTAGTACGTACTATCGACGTGATAATGTGATTGTGGATATTGATCAAACGGTAAAGCCACACAGTGACTGTATGTCATATTACCTTTCAAGAGATTACTTTTCAACATATATAAATATGAATAAGAGTTTGAGCAATAGGTACCAATAAAAAAGTAATACTGCCAGGCGGTGGGAGGTTAAAGTGGTATAATTCACAAGAGCATAATTTGTAAAGCCTGTTTTCTCCATCCACCATTGTGATATTGCTGGAATATCACAGAAGGCGTAATAAAACCATACTCACTTAATTCATACTTATCCGAACAGTTAAATACACTCAAAAACTCAATGGTTAATTGACCTCTAGTTTGCAAGTTTAGAAAATATGTTTTATCCAAAATAATACTTTGTAACTCATCAGGTTGTTCTAGAATATATGCACTATATCAAATATGTCAAATCTTTGAAAGTTATCTCACAAAACCCTTAACATACAAAGCATATGTACATATGTATTAAAGTGACCTAAAATGGACAAGATGTTCGTTCTTTAGAACACATTCTTAAACACAAAAATCAAGTGACTTCACTCTTTACCTACCGTCTTGGTAGACAGGCGGTAGAAAACGTCTCATTTGAGTTGGAGCCTTTCCCCATCTCGGGTTGGCCAAGTTGTTACAGACGCCGCTGGGAGTCCTGTAAGGGCTCCATACATCACATGGTGCCATCAGATTCCTCGGCTTACATATGTCGTCCAACGGACCAAAATCAATATCAGGGAATTGTCTTCTGGACCTACAGGTTCAAAATAAATCGAAATGTAAATATTGCTTTATGTGTAAATAACACACACACACACACATATATATATTTATATATATATATTGATGACATGGTTTAAGGACATAAAAAGGTGGGTTTTTTACCAAAAGCTTATTTTCAAAGGAGCAGGGCTCACTGGCACAAAGTGATCCTATTGCAACTATGATCGTAATTCCCATACTCTAACACAGACTGAAGATAGTCGTAGTGCTAATATCGCTTTGTGCAAATTGGCCCTTGGCCCAGTTCCTCAAAGCGATCTTACTGCTATGACGATCGCAAGTCATTTCTTCAGTATGGAGGGGCGGTCGGGTAGCCTAGTGGTTAAAGCGTTCGCTCGTCACGCTGAAGACCCGGGTTCGATTCACGACATGGGTACAATGTGTGAAGCCCATTTCTGGTGTCCCCCGCCGTGATATTGCTGGAATATTGCTAAAAGCGGCGTAAAACCATACTCACTCACTCAGTATGGGCGATTGTCTCAAATCGTCTAAAAGAGGAACAAGGCCTCGGTTATCGGTCAGTAAGGGAACACAGAATGCTACTTCCAAAACATCGTTGAGGATAACTTTTCCGTTACAATCCGGATTGTATACATTCATATGACTAATGTTAAACCCGGATTGTGTGTTACCTTACAAAATCAAACATAGTTGACTGAACTTATCGTGCATACGCCATGCTTTAAATTAACGGCATGATGACTTTGAAATTTGTACTTCCGAAAACAATGTAAGAAAAAAGTAGACTGCAAGATCCCAGGTTTTCCTCGTGAAAGGATCATTTTGAGTTTAATAACTAAACGTATTTCGTGACAGGAACACGAAACAAATCCTACACAGAACCAATGATGTTGTCCTTAATACCATCATACAAAGTGATTGATCACCAACCAACTATTTACAAGTTCTTAAAAACTTGCATGGCAAGTATCCTAATTTGAAGAACAAAAGGTTCGGTTTTAGAAAATTGATTTACCTTGCACCAGGTGCATATTGCCATGTATAACAATTTGCACCAGAAAAAACCAGGTTGCCCTTTTTTCCTTAAATTTATCAAATTTCAAACATTCATGCATAAACTCGTATAAATAAATACAATCTCAGATATCTGATGACTGGTCATGATGTTACGTAAATTACGTTTTGCTGTAATAAACGTGCACGTAATCTTGAAGTACCCACAGTTTAAAGTGAAAGAAAGCATGTCCAAATATTGCCTGAGCTTGCTAGACTGAACAGAATTTTACAAGACGCGGGCCTTAGTGGCAGTCTGACATAACACAGGGGTTAATGATGTTGTATGGTACATAAAGCTGAAAGATGTTGTGTGGAAAAGTAAGTTCAAAACAAATTATGTAGACATATCTGTTTTGTTGCACTTTTCAACAATACGTTGCACTGAATGATACTAAATAATCAATGATATTCAGTGATAGAAACTTTCAGCATTAAAGTTACCCTTTCTGTCCTCTCCAGGATCGCAATGGTACCCTGGGAATGTAGAGAGAAATCTGTTTGCTTACGCTCTAGTGTTTGCAGCTATGAAGGACACCCCCATCTCCACCATCGTATCCCGACCCCCTGTAAAGGCGGCAGCTTGGCGGACGGTAAGGTCCGCTTCTAGGTATGGCAGAAAATACAATCAGGATAAACACACACAATGTATTGAGAAAAAAGAAAATAAATACCAGTAGTTTCAGTGTCTATCTGACGCTTAATATACAATGAAACCTCGTTAACTCGAAGTCCACGGGGCCATAAAAAAACATCTTCCCGAAGGAGTGACCACCAGCCTCTTTTAAACTCATGTTTTCATCCTTGCCATTTCAACCTATTTTTCTGTGCAGACATATGAGAGAAATATTGCACACATACATTGATCAATCAGAGAATCAGAAAAAACGTGTCCGCTACAATTGCCGCAGCCATAGTCTGTTGAATTTGCGCTGCCATTATTCATTGCCAGTACGCATTATGCCGGGGCCCTGAAGATGCAGTAATATATCGATTGACTAAGGGTCAAGTTTACGAGGTTCTGAAAGCAATTCTGAATTGACGCGTGTATACCTTTACAATCGGTAATATTATTCAGAGCATTTCACTCGCTAACAAATGTGCTTTCAGTAGTTTCTAGATATTGCTTTATCGTGTTTTTATACTTTATGAATCCATGAAGTCTGGAATAGATGAGACAATGTATCATGTGTGGGGCATGCCACTCACCACCACTTCGTTGCGACGCCACGAGTACAAAACCGGATATACACACGCAGAGAAACCATCCGCCGCCGGAAGTCCCCATAGCTGATGGCTGTAACAAGAACAGTAATTATTTCATTTCCTGTCGACGTCCATTGAATACAACCGTGCAAGAACATCTTAAATGACAGCATTTACGTGTATATTCATGCTTAGGACAACGCATATACACCGGAAATACACACGCAGAGAAACCATCCTCCGCCGGAAGTCCCCATAACTGATGGCTGTAACAAGAACAGTAATTATTTCATTACCTGTCGACGTCCATTGAATACAACCGTGCAAGAACATCTTAAATGACAGCATTTACGTGTATATTCATGCTTAGGACAACGCATATACACCGGAAATACACACGCAGAGAAACCATCCTCCGCCGGAAGTCCCCATAGCTAATGGCTGTAAGAAGAACAGTAATTATTTCATTTCCTGTCGACGTCCATTGAATACAACCGTGCAAGAACATATTAAATGACAGCATTTACGTGTATATTCATGCTTAGGACAATGCATATACACCGGAAATACACATGCAGAGAAACCATCCGCCGCCGGAAGTCCCCATAGCTGATGGCTGTAACAAGAACAGTAATTATTTCATTTCCTGTCGACGTCCATTGAATACAACCGTGCAAGAACATATTCAATGACAGCATTTACGTGTATATTAATGCTTAGGACAACGCCTAGGATATTCATGACAATACGTTTGAAATGTTTGTTGTCACCAAGGACATGCCTATGAACCCTATAAAAACGCATGTGAACACCTACCTAGAAAATGCCTGTGAACAGGTAAGACATGATTAAAAATGAAATGCATGTAACATCTAAATAAAAGCGACAGAACCCTTTACTTAATCACGCGAAATCTCTTCCAAAAGTTAAATATATGTAAACACCTAGGACATTCATGTGGTTTTGGTTTGGTTTGGTTTGTTGTTTTACGCAGCACTCAGCAATATTCCAGCTATATGACGGCGGTCTGTAAATAAACGAGTCTGGACAGACAATCCAGTGATTAATGTCATGAGCATCGATCTACGCAATTGGGATCGATGACATGCATCAACCAAGTCAGCGAGCCTGACCATCCGATCCCGTTAGTCGCCTTTTACGACAAGCATAGTCACCTTTTACGGCAAGCATGGGTTGCTGAAGACCAATTCCACCCCGGAATCATTAATGTGGACAACTAGGGGATGAGTGACAACATAATGTGGGAGGAAAATCAGAAGTAATCGTTTACCACTTTTATCAATCCCCATAGGACATAAATAGCGACTTTCATGACATACATGCATAGGTACACCAAACAATTTGAATAAGTAATCATTTCAATGGTTGTAATACTTGAGGGGAAAGGCTGGAAAGGCAGGAATTATAAATATGGGTAGAGCTAGGTATTCTGTCATGTTTAAAGAGAGCATTCGATCACGTCACGCACATTATGATCTGTGTGGTAAGGTAAACCAATATTATTATAATATACTTAATATTATTCTGTCTGAAGTAAGACGCGTTATTCACTAAATGTAGGTAGACATAGACACGATAACGATAATAACAATAACCTTCAAACCAAGTATAATAGAATGACATAATTGTATTTGGTGCATTACAATAGTAGCTGTAAGATATGAACGATATTGACATTCTTATGATTTGACTTCTAAGTTCATCAATGCGTTGTCATCGTGTGCATCAAAATATATAAGATCGCAAAAACAATGAAAAACGAAGTGTGGTTGATTTCACGATTAAAAAATGTTCTTTCATGACGTCATTTCTGGAGATTCGAACATGCGTTATTTGTAAGAGGTTAGTGTTTTGTGAATTATTCCCCACAGATTTAGCTGGGCAAAGCAGATAAACGCGATGGCCGAACCATCGCATCCACAAGCGGGAGAGATATGGCTCAGTAATGGGTGAAAAGGATTCTTGGAATATGCAGGAAATATACACCCGTGATTAAAATGGACTTGTCCGACATTGTTGAGGTCGAATTCTACTGAGGGAGTCATCATTATTTAAATACGGGTAAATATGTTTAAATCTTGTACATTTTATCATCGTCCTTAGAGAGACTTTTCATATTGTGCCCCTCATAGTGTATTCTCCCTGCAGTGTTATATTGTACGATAAGCAACTCCCATACATACATGCATACATACATACATACATACATACATACATACATACATACATACATACATACATACATACATACATACATACATACATGGCGTGTCAAATAATAAAGCGTCCATGTTTCTTACCCTAACAATAGGAAGAGGGACGAATGCAATCTAGCAGTTTAATTGTCATCGGGGATGTCTGCCTTTTATACTAACCGCCCGCGTATGTTGTGACTTTGAGTAATTCAGTGATTTGTGTCTTGTCCTAAATCGTGACAGACGATACGTCACTGAACAGTAGGATTCACCGAGCGCGATGGGTTTGATGGATGTGTCCATCTTACACAATGTACGTCACTATAGCCTACTACGTTCAGTCTGACACGTAAACGTCCACTGTTAGATTTGCTTGCAGATGTACTGAAGGTTATGAGAACTTAATGAATGTTATATTTAGTTAAATATCAGAAAAAGTCAAATATTCATAGAAAATACTGGAACAATTGAGTGTATTTCACACTGATATAACACCCACGACCACTGGAGGAATATGAATTATGGACGA